TAACTGATGTAAACTATCTATAGCTGTACTGTAAGCTCTTTTATCTTTTATTTACTATAATAATTTATACGTAGAAATACGATTTATCTTCAATTTAAGTAGGAATAATGAGAATAAATATTGCATATTATGAAAAAGCAAAATAATTTTGTGGTTTGTTTCTGTCAATATTGTCCAAGTCTTGTCAATCAGTTATACACGACTGAATTCCCTCCAAACATTGAAATGTGTGTAATTGCTGAACTCGTCCCATTTTATTTAACAAGTGAATTAATAAATTAAGAATAAACAATCAGAGGAAAGGTTCAGAAGTTTTGAAAATCAGTTTAAAACTTGTTTAAAAAACAGTCAAATAAATTGGGTTTTTTTTAAGATTAAAAAAGTGTCACTTGTCAACGGGCTCTATCATATCAATAAATGTCATCCTAGGATTAAGATGACATGTGTCATTATATGATATAGATGACCATATGAATTAACCATAACAAAAGGAGAGAGAAATCGTGAGCCCTGTGTCTGCGTTGCAATTCAAATAAACCGGGAGTAATCTCCCTTAAACTTTCTCGAATATTCTTTATATAATACAACAGGGGATGGCAACTGGGGATATAGACATGATTTTTAATCCTTTTTAAATACTTAAACTTTTTAAAATAGAATAAAATCTCGTAGAAAAAGAATAACACACCAAGTGAACGCCAAACATAATGTGCATAATAGTGCGGAACATTATTGGTACTTTATAAATTCACATGCGTTTTTTTATAAATCGGAAATAGCGTAAATTACTACTTCCGGTCAATTTTTTTAGATGATTGATGAATTAATACATAGGGTTTCTGATAGTTTATTTGTTTTCCCCCTTCTCGTTATAAGGCATCACCCATATTTTTCTGAAATATATGATACATTTTTTTATGAATTGAAAATAATTTGAAAAAGTCTTGGATAGGAAAGCTGGCTACAAATTGTATCAAATGGTTGTGGGCAAAAAAGCATATTTTTCAAACAAAGTTGAATATTTTTTAACATTTGTGAAATAAGTATAAAATGACTTTCAGTTTTATTAAGGCTTGAAATATTCAAACATATAATTACTAGTAATATAATAGTAATTTAGCTTCTATTTTTAAATTTGGATTAGTAGAATCAGGCTGTTGTGTTCATAGGGGATGTTATATTGTTAAATATAAATAAACTACTAGGGGTCGTCCATAAATGACGTCACACGCCTAGGGGGGGGGAGGGGGTTCAGACTTTTGTGACGATGTGTGACGAGGGGGAGGGGGGGGGGTAGAGACAGTGTGACGTCACGTTGCCTAAATTCCACGAATTGATTAACATGCATTTTTTTAGTTTTTAGAAAAATAAACATACTAAATACTAAATAATTTTTTTACATTGGTTGCGATACTTCTAAGTTGTCAAAAGATTGTGAAATATATATTTGTTCTAATTAAATTGCCCTATAATTTGATGTGTGTTGTGTAGTAGACTGCCCTATATGCAAATTTGTCAATACTGCTATATGAATAAAGGTCGGAAGCGTATCAACTAGTGAGGGTGAGGCATGGGTATCAGTGTAATGCTTACTATTCTTTGAAGTTTACAGAGTAGGGCAGTCATAATAAAACTTTAAACCCCGTTTTCCGAATATTTTATTTAAAAACTTATGTTCACACTTAGGGCTGCGACTCTTGCCCTTGATGACACGCCGTGTCTCCCTTACATCATGTTGTTCATGCCTATAGCTCATGCTTGTTGAACGATCTAGTGGAAAAATAACTAGTACGATCAGTTCCAAGGTCGAGATCACGTGATTTTTGTAGGTGCGGCCAAAAAAAAGCGGATGTGTGTAGAGTCAGCTTGTGATGCGTGTTTATTAGATCAACTTAAATAGGCCTACACGTGTCTTGCTGAATCAACTTTGTCTGTGTGAGGCTTTTCAATTGAAAGGTAGATCTAATAATCTCATATATACTGCTTAAAAATCGACAGTTAATGATGGATAAAAATAAAATGTTCCAATGTATTTTTGATGCCTACGTGCTGGCATATCCTAAAAAGAGTAAAAAGATTTGCCAAGAAGAAGTCGTTGAAAAGTGGACTCAACTAAAAAGCGATTTAGATCTTCACTTGAAAGCGGAGGTCTGGCTGCAAGAGCTAAAAGCAATTGCTGCCGCTAAAAAAGGCTCACTTTTGACGTTTTGGGCCAAACAAACATCTGTATCTACATCTACAAATAAGAAAACACCCTATGATTTGGCAAAAGAAATACCTAATACTAATAAGTCACTGAAGTCAGATGAAAAAGTGAACGATGCTCATGAAGTCAGTGATTTCAAACCCTCTACCAGCAAACCATCAACATCTAAGCAGGCTACAGTCCAGATAAACTTACAATCAGAGATTGAGATTCTGAATTCTGATCTAGTTGGCTTGTGTGCGCGACAAACTCGCGGAATGTTAACGCAAGAACAGAACATGGAGCTTAAAGAAAAGAAACAGACAAAGAGTGATTTGGAAAAAAAGCTAAAGAGGAAGATATCTGATCAAATAAGATCTCAGAAAGCTCGAAATGAAAAGAAAACTGAATGCTTTGTTTGAAGAGAATCCGGGGCTACGCGCCACTTTGAATGTTAGATCTAATTCTGGCAGGCCAAGGATTGAAGAAAATCAATCTTCTTTATTGGAAACTATCATAAACATTGCTATGCATGGATCAGCATCACACGAGAGGAGACAGTACGAAGTCTACAGGACTATTAAAACATTAGATAAGCTAACTGATCAGTTAAAACAGGATGGGTTTATAATTAGTAGAAGTGGGCTGTACCTTCGACTGTTGCCAAGACGTACTTCTTCTCATGAAGGGCAACGACATGTATCGACAGTCCCAGTAAAACTGATAAGAGCGCAAAACGATTGCCATGCAAATCACATTGATCGCTTGTTTACAGCGGCAACACTGCATCACCTAGAAGAGTTAGCTTCCATGCTTGGACCGAATGAGGTATGCTTTATAAGTCAAGATGACAAGGCCCGCGTTCCGCTTGGGTTGACAGCAGCTAAAAAACAGAGTCCATTGCTCATGCACATGGAATACAGGGTGAGCTTGCCTGACCATGACTGGGTTGTGGCTGCTGGACATAAGCTGATCCCTTCAGTTTATGCAGGGATAAAAATTCAGCCCAACGCCTTGGGAAATCGAGAAGCTGTTGGATACTCCGGCCCAACATACATATCAATCAGATCTGGTAAACATTCCTCATCCACAGCGCTTAGTCATGGACTTGATTTTGAAAAATTACTTACTTTACATGAATTTGATGATATCACAAAGAGCGGTGTGGATCAAATTGTTAAACCAATCTTAGTGTTGACGGTTGATGGTGGCCCAGACGAAAATCCTAGGTATCAAAAGGTGATCAAAGTTGCGGTACACCACTTTCTCAATCAGAACTATGATGGTTTGTTCATTGCTACAAATGCACCAGGAAGAAGTGCATTTAATAGGGTTGAAAGAAAAATGGCGCCACTTAGCAATGAGCTCACAGGATTAGTTTTACCCCATGACCACTACGGCAGTCATTTGGATAAAAGAGGAGTCACAATAGACACAGATTTAGAGAAGAAGAATTTTCAGTTTGCCGGAAACACTTTGGCAGAAATATGGTCACACTTGACAGTGGATACATTTCCTACAGTGGCAGCATACATAGATCCAGAAGAGTCTGAACTCCTTGAAACTTCTCTGCTCTCAAAAGATCAGCGTTGGCATGCTATTCATGTGAGAACTAGCCAGTATTTGACTCAGATCGTTAAATGCATGGATGGTAAATGTTGCTCAAAGCCAAGAAGCTCGTATTTCAGCGTAATAACTGATAGATTTCTTCCTCCACCTTTACCAGTCGCCCAAACAAGCTGTGGACTAACAATACCTGAGCGTTCAACAGATGGCTCTTCACATAAATTTCCATCTCTTTTTGTTGCTCAAAGTATAAAAGTGGATGAAATCCTTTCCCGCTCTTCAAATCCTTATCGCACAATCCCTTATGATTTGTATTGTCCGTCTGTTCAATCCGTGATCAGCGACAGGGTTTGTAAGAAGTGTCATTCATACTTCTCTTCATTGGTTATGCTGCGCAATCATTCTTTAACTCACAAACAGGAATCATCAATTGCGCCATTACAGCGCATCAGGCCTCTGAGAGTTGCTGCACGTCACCAACGTGAACTGATGGTTATAATTGCCAATGAAATTAATGGTGAGAGTGTAGATTGGATAGAAGAGGAAGACCTTGATGTAAAGGGAATTCCCATTCCATACAAGAAAAAAATCAATTCCGTCCCTGTGTATTCAATGAATGAACATTTTAATTCTCCATGGGAGAATGAATAAGCTTAAAATTAAATATCACAACTTTTAATTTAGGATTGCCATATTAATACTGTTGTAAGTAGTTTTTAAAAATACTTCTGTTAATGATCTTGTTAAGATTTAGAAATATGAATGTATATAGATATCGTCGGTTAAGTATAACTTGTTACTGATATTATTATTTAATCGTTATTAATAAAATTTCTATAAAACTTGCTTAGATTTAAGTCAGTGTGAAAGTATTTCTTGTCCTATTTCAACATCCTCTTCGCTAACGGCAAACCACGCAATTTAATAATCTAGTGGAGAGTCTTTACTATTAAAAATCAATTACATTTATATTGCTTTGTGAGAGATGACATCCGTTAAGTCCATCATATAGGCTACAATGAAATATACTAGGAAAATTAAAGGTCTGGGTATACTGCTGACATTTAAATAATTTGCATATTATACTCAATATATGGTTATTCTCACGTGTGTCGTCATGTCTGCAAGAAATACCTACATTTATATTAAGTATTTAAAAAAAAATTAATCTTATCAGCTTTAACATCACCTCACTGTATTACTGTTTACCTGCTGGTGCCACGAATGGGTCCTGCGCTCTCATTTTTAATGCTGTGTCAACGAGCGGTAATTTTAAAGGGATGAAAACACAGCAAATTTAAAACATAGGATAAATTGTAAATTAGGGGGGGTGGGGTGGAGTGTGACGTCATTTTAGGGGGGGGGGGGTCTGAATTTTTGTGA